CCACATGCATCCCACATAGAAAACGGCAGTGAACAATCCTATAATTATACACAAAATTTCAATCATTTTTATCTTAATCATCTTCTCTTCATCTTAAATATAAACTACATATTTTAATACTCAGACAATCTTGAAATCTTGAACCTCGACTAAAGGCTTGTTAAATACAGTGGCGGTCCTGCTTCTCGAAACTGGGCATAAAAATATGGAGCAGACTGATTCAATGAAGGGACAAGTGTCAAGGTTAAATTCAAAATGAGGCAACTCCGTGGAGGCGTCATAGTATCAAGCCTCTCTTGGAGAAGGTTCTCTTAAGAAAATTTTCGAAAAATTGAATTGATTTGGTGCATTCTTAGACATAATATTTTTAGATTTGTTAGAAAATAAAGTGGGGGTACAATTGGAGAGCAAACCATTTTTCAAGCGAAGTAAAATCCCCTTCTATACCCTTATTAGTTAAATATTATACTATACCTGTTTTAGAGAACAGATCTGATAATATTGTGTTGGTATAAAGGGTTGAGGTATATCTGGACCGTGCCGTGTTATTAAGATGGTATACGTGTTAACCACCCACGTATCACTGTGGCTCGTATCAACTATAAATATCCAGATTTTATTCTTGCCAATCCCCAGGGTGATGTTGGAGATTCTGAAATAAAGGCAGACAACTGGTAAGATACCATCTACCTTTATCACTGTACACAGTGCACAGCATAATGAATAATGCGGACAATTTCATCACGAATAATGCAGACATCATCACGAATAATGCAGACATCATCACAAATAATGTGTACATCACGAATAATGTGGACATCACGAATAATGCAGACATCATCACGAATAATGCAGACATCATCACAAATAATGCAGACATCATCACAAATAATGTGGACATCACGAATAATGTGGACATCACGAATAATGTGGACATCACGAATAATGCAGACATCATCACGAATAATGCAGACATCATCACGAATAATGCAGACATCATCACAAATAATGCAGACATCATCACAAATAATGTGGACATCACGAATAATGTGGACATAACGAATAATGCAGACATCATCATGAATAATGCAGACATCATCACGAATAATGCAGACATCATCACAAATAATGCAGACATCATCACAAATAATGTGGACATCACGAATAATGTGGACATCACGAATAATGTGGACATCACGAATAATGCAGACATCATCACGAATAATGCAGACATCATCACGAATAATGCAGACATCATCACAAATAATGCAGACATCATCACAAATAATGTGGACATCACGAATAATGTGGACATAACGAATAATGCAGACATCATCATGAATAATGCAGACATCATCACGAATAATGCAGACATCATCACAAATAATGCAGACATCATCACAAATAATGTGGACATCACGAATAATGTGGACATCACGAATAATGCAGACATCATAACGAATAATGCAGACATCATCACGAATAATGCAGACATCATCACGAATAATGCAGACATCATAATGAATAATGCAGACAGACACCATAATATTGAGTGGTAATAAAGTGTATTCCACAACTCTACCTTACTGGGGCCAACTGAACAACAACAGTTTGTACATTTGGAAAAAATATGTACTGTTTGATCAAAATGTGATGCAATGAATTTCTCCACTAGTTTCGTATACTTAATCTATGATTTACTCTCTCTATGATATGCACATGCATCATGGTAATTAGGTTACAGAGTGTGGAACAATTTAAAATTAACAACTGATATCTTACCCACTATCTCCTTGTTTGTCTTCCAGCCTAGCCTGGGATGAACAACTTTTAGCAAAGGCCATGACCTTCATCAACAATGTATTATAACCCACAGTGGCCGTATAGTCAGTTAGAAAGGGGGAGAACTCTGGTTCTAGTTCTACAGGTGGCACTGTTGATAAGTGACCTAAATAAGGCATACTGGATGGATCTGAAACAAAAAATACAATTTTTTTGCAATAATGAACTGATTTTCCAGGGAAAAAAATATACCTGATGCTCAATGTCATAAAAATCTCATCTGTATATCTCTGAACAGCGTTAATAAAGTTAAATCTATCTTCTAAATGAATAGAGCAAATCCTTGAGTATTCTTGGGAAAACCTCTTCACTTCAATGTTTTGCCACCAGTTTGTCTTGTGGGTGTTGGGTGTTATAGAAGATACTCTCCTACAGAAGCACTGGCCAAGGTCACAAGAAGAGAACATACTTCTTTTACATCAATTATCTAACGATTAAATTGAAATGGTTCTATGCTGTGTACCAAGAGAAATTACAACAATGTAACTTCTACTTGTGCCAGTGCCTTCTGTTGGATAGTAACTTGTTTCCTTTCAACCACCCTAATCTCTAGTCTGTGAAATGACAATAGTTCCCATATAGCTCTAGAGCCACTGTGGATTATTACTGACCACAATCATAAATGATTAATTAGTGCTCAATACTTCTATAATCTATCAAAATATAACTATAAGATTGTCGTACCTTTATCACAGGGTGGTTTGGTAAAATTATCTACAAAATAAAAAAAATCCTTAGAACTTGGAACAAAAATACTGTCAATGTGAAAAAAAATCTTCAAGATGACTAGAATGAGCATGATAAGCATGTTTCAAAATTACTTAGTTTAATAAATTATTACTTAGTTTAATGAATTGTTACTTAGTTTAATAAATTATTACTTAGTTTAATAAATTATTACTTAGTTTAATAAATCATTACTTAGTTTAATAAATTATTACTTAGTTTAATGAATTATTACTTAGTTTAATAAATCATTACTTAGTTTAATGAATTGTTACTTAGTTTAATAAATTATTACTTAGTTTAATAAATTATTACTTAGTTTAATGTATTGTTACTTAGTTTAATAAATTATTACTTAGTTTAATAAATTATTACTTAGTTTAATAAATCATGACTTAGTTTAATAAATTATTACTTAGTTTAATGAACTATTACTTACTT